CGTCAGCACATTCTTTGGTATGGAATCAATGATTTAACCGACGTCTGATCAAATGAATATTTTATTAACACTATGGAGTTTTAAACTGCTCCGAATATAGATTGTAAGGTGATTCATACAACTTCTGCTACATTCGAATTATCTACTTAAGGTACATCATTACATATTCTGTAATCTTAACTGATCTCAGAAAATAAAATCGAAATGTATGGAAAAATCAAATGAATATTTCATTACCCGCAAGGAATTTTACCCTGCTATGAATATAAATTGTAAAATGATGCATACAACTTCTGCTACATTCAAATTATCTACTTAAGGCAGATAATTAAATATTATGCAGCCTTAGCTTAACTCAGAAAATAAAATCAAAATGTATAAAAAAATCAAATGAATATTTTATTAACCATATAGTGATTTACTCTGCTATGAATATAAGTTGTAAGATGATGCATACATCATCTGCTACATTCAAATTACCTAGTTAAGGCAGATCATTAAATATCGATAAAAGAAACTGATTTCCATATATATATATATATATATACATTGCAGTGTCATGAGGGCTCTTTGATGTTGTATAACGCCCTCGCCAGGACTCCAACTTAGACTTCTTGAATACGCCCGGAGTGTGCGTTACACCACAAAAGCATGCTGGAAGGAGGGAGAAAGTGCCTATTTTAAAGAGCGACTTAGGGACTGGGGGACCTAATCGCCAAATTCTGGTGGGAATGAATTATTATTCACCACCTTTTAGCTCGAGATCCACTGTAGAGTTATGAGGTTATTTTGTAGCAGGAGACATGCAAAATGAGCAATTCCCTTGACGGAACTCAAACCTGGATCGCTCGAATATGCGCCGAGTATAGTACCGTTACCCCACGGTAGTATACAGGAAGGAATGAGAAAATATGCTTGCCACTTTTAAAGGACAACTATGGTTTAGGAGGACTCAGTCGCCAAATCCTGGTGGTGATGAATTATAGTCCACCACCTTTAATTCGGCAGCTATTGTAGAGTCATTATTATTTTTTTTCTTTTTTGATATCAAATGACGTGAAATATAAGTAATGCAATCATCGGAGCTCGAACCTGGACCTCTGCAATATGGGCCAAGTGTGCTACTGTTACACCACGTAGTTTCTTTCAACCTTTTATTTTACAAAATTTAATTTGATTAATGGAAACGTTATTAAAGGCAAACATATTGAAATGAGCTACTTAAAATTTAAGTGTAGAAATTCCATGACACATTTGCGTACATAAAACAAAATTTACCTTTATTTAGTTTAATTTTCAGCTTGGAATGTCACGGTCTTTGGTTAATATGAGGTCACTATGATGATGTAGATTAATGTATCATCTTTAACAAATGGTTATAACAAGACTCTAACTAAACTCTTTGCTTTAGTATATCTGTAATTAAACTCATCATATTAAATATTTGGTTAATATGACGTCACTATGATGATGTAGTTTAATGTATCATCTTTAACAAATGCTTGTAACAAAACAGTAGTCTAAAATCGGTCAATAAAATTCAGTTGTAGAGTGGTTAATTTGCTTGGTTTGGTTTGGTTTATATGTGATAACTGGAACGTCTCGAGGGCTATCTGTCTAAGGGGAAGAATGCCTTCTTGGAGGACTTTCTAACGGAAGCAGGATCGTATACACGTTATACATGAGTAAAACCACGAAAATGCCCATGCAGCCAGCCCATTCACGGGATTCAAAGCTCCGACTGAGCTACCAGTGTTCAGCGAATTTTAGGCTCGCCGGCTAATGGGCTGTAGAATGGGCAAAGATTTTAATCGAAATTATAGAAATGAAAACCTATCAGCGATTATTAATTTTAACAAAATCCATCACCTTCAGTTTATAAAACATGTATTTACAGCTCAAGCGACAATCGAAATAATGAGGAGGACAAATTAAACTTTTCAGCCTACAGTTTTATATTAAGCTCACATTAACCTCAAGTAAATACGCATCCTATATTACATATTTAAATGATATTTTCTGAAAATAAAATATAAATAAATAAAATTTACTACGTCTGATCCAAATATTCAGCTGTTGGGAAAATTATTGTTGTTGTAAATTATATACTTAGTAATGAATCTGCATATTTTAAAAATCAATAGTAAGCCAGATTAATACTTCTGCACCTTTTAATGTTTAATTTAACTTTCACTAAGTTTAACATAAAATTCGGAAAATAACAGAAACCTCTCTAAAGGAACTGGGTTTCAATTCATTACATCCGTACAGCGGGTAAAATGGGATTTAAATATGCAATGCCCTTTTAAATAGTTTGAAGAAAGTTTTCGCATTAATCATTAATAACGGAAATATTCTTTTCCCTTCCAAAATATGAGAAATTATATTAAACTTTGCTGTAGTTGTAATCCTTAAATACCGATTTAAAATATTCATTCCGAAAAGTCTCAAAATTATCTTAAATTCTGCAGGGGTCGTATAAATATTTGAACATTTTTTTAAAGCTTTTCAAGATTGAAAGACAAAGATTTTAAACAGCGGATAATAAGCACAATGCTGCAGAGGGAATGTATATTATACAGGGATGTTTTATCGTTAAAAATTATATTCAACAATTACGAGAAACCATACACAATTGTAATTTGGAATTTGAGTTCAAGAATATTTTATTTTGTGAAAGACCAGTTTTTTAAATATTTTTCTATCTTTTTAATATAGGAAACAAAGAGAAACTAGATAAATTATATGCTCAATTTGAAGCAAGGAATGACACATTCTGGCATGAATTACTCATAGCTTCAAAGGCTTGCGCATATAAATGGCACATATATATCCATATTATAATCAACATTGCCACTCTGGTATTAACTTTTAAGTATTTCCTTCTGCCTACTGTTTCACGTTTACAGTGAGAATACTTGAGGAACATACTAGGCGTAGTCAACATGTTTGGCTCAGGGATTGCTGTTTGCTGCGAAGTAAAAATGAAGTATTGTAATCACGAAAAGGTTTGGGTATCATATTTCACAAAAGATATCCAAAACTGTTTCCTTGTTTTGTTTGTTTATTTGTTTAGATTTATTATAGTATTTGAATAGTGCATGTGGCAACGATTAGATAATTCTTCAGATAATTTAAATTTTCTGCATTCTGATTTATAAAATGAATGACTTGTAACGCTGTTAAGAGAACCTAGTGTCAGAGTGTCGCTATGGTAAACAAATATAGTGAATTTAAAGAGTGCATTTATTCTATTGTGGTTTATGCGTTATCGTATCGACGAAGTAGATTTAATTCAATCCAACAAGTGTAAATGAAATGCAAGGAAAAATGCGTATAATTTAATATTCCTTTCAAGGAAGCCATGTGGTTTACACAACAAATTTTGTATATAAAAAATTGAGTGGTTAGTTAGGTATCAAATATGTGTAATTCTACATATTAACCCATCAGTTAGTGAATGACGGAAAAGGTAATAAATTGGTAAAGGTGGCTATGAATTGGTTTGGTTTGGTTTGCATAATTATGCAAAGGACACAAGGACTACCCGCCTAAGGGGAAGGACTTTCTAAGGGAAACTGGCCTTTGTGGAGGACATTTCAAACTGGGAAACTTCTAATACTTTGATGATACTCTTTCGTTTATACGTTACACGTGGTGAAAACTAGTAAACCGCCAATGCAATCAGCGCGTTATTCGTACACCGGATCGAACTACCAGTGCTTAGTGACATTATCGTTTGGTCGGTGATTGACGCCACATCATGAATTAAATTATAGCAATGGGGATAGGGAGTTATGAAATTATCTATAACCCGACTTCTAAACAAAAATATAATTTCTTATAACAAAAGAAATATTAAATCAGATTAAAAGCAGAACTGCGCTTATTTTTTTTTAAATTCAAAACCTATATCAAATTAGAGGCATATACAGAAGTAAATAAAGGAATTTTAAAACATAAGTTAATTTCAAGCCATTTTTCGGCTGAATTTCTATCAGGGCAGTTTGAAAAAAAAGAGACCTATATATATATATATATATATATATATAGTATGTATTAAAACAGATGTGATATATAGTAAACATATTAACGTGTATACGAGTCAATTTCCCTTAGAAAGTCCTCCACGAAGACATCCCACCCCTTAGGCAGATAGCCCTCGAGTGCTTTGTCGTAATCTAATCTAATAAAATAATCGTACAAGGAAATAAAAACTATTCGAAATATCTGAGGAGCACCCATGATGAATGATAGAAAATCGCAAAATTGTGATTGGGATCTCTTAATACAATAAGGACAGATTTCTGTCTATGCCAAGAGACAGCTTTTGTCTATTAAAAATAGTAATGGCTATTAGTGTTGTGTTATACCTGAGCTGAGTAATAAATGAAGAGTACAGACAGATGCGCAATATTGATTAGTGCAGCTGACGAATGTCAAATATAATCCTTCATTTTTAATGTGTTTAAATTACAATAACGGCCATGGAGGGATATAAGAGGTCATCTTACGGACTACATCAGTGTATTGTTCTGATAATATATAATTTAATACAGTAATTTAGTAATGTAATAAATGTAGTTACTAATAATTTCTTTGTATTTATTTATTTATGCACTGTCGCTTTTCAAATGATTTATAACGGTAATATTATCACAGTTTCTATGGTTTGATCATGGTTTACGTGACGTAGGCCATCACACAGGTAACAGTTCGCCTTTAGCGAGCATACTAAATATTTCCAGTTTCTATCTGAATAATTATGCTTACACTACATTTTATAATTATATTTTATATACGGAAAAACGTTTATGAGTGAAAAGCTCTGAGTAAGAATTAAAAACTAATTTTATTGTTGTAAAATGAAAAAAATTAAATTAAAATATTTTATACCTATTAATTTAGCAATAATCACTGCTATTAATTTGTTTTTCATATGCAAAAATAATCATGGTTATTATTAGTACCGCGTTAACATATCGTTAGAGAATCAGTACCTGGTAATGTTAATGAAACTGATGACACTGCCTTCTCGACTGACGTAATCGCCAACTCGAATCCTGCTAGTGTCTTGAACAGGATTCTCATATGAATACCACGTGATTTGAGGAAGAGGATTTCCAATAGCAGAGCAACGAAGAGAGACTGAATCTCCGGGTTTTACAATGAGCTCCTCGAACTTGCTTAACAAAACCGGTGGCTCAGCTAGAAGAGGAATATAATATTATAAGTCTCATGAGACATTAAATAATTCATAAGCAAAATCAGTCGTATATTCAAAGTAACAGGGCAAAAATGCAATTACACTAATAATATAGAAGTGTGGAAGATGAAATTTCATTGTAGAAAAACTAATGTGTTTATCCTTTTTATTAAGTTTTTAATTCATTAACAGTATATGCTTATTTATTTTTTGACGGCTTTTCCTTTCTCTATATATTTCATAGTTTGCAATTTGCTCTTACTCCTGAAGAAGAGATGCTTATATCCCACTTCTTTCAAAGTCAATAGGATTTATTTAAAACCAAAGCACTCTACGTATTTTGGTACAATTTTGCTTAATTCTTTATGATTTGAGAAGTTTAACCAACTGCAAAAATTAATGCTATAAATTTATGGAACATATCCACACTGCATATTAGTGAGAACTTATTCAAATTTTGATTCAATAATTAAAACTTGAATCGTAAAAGAAGTACAGATATTGGAAAAATTTAGATACTTTAATAGGTATATAGAATAATTATGCAAACTTCTTTAAGTAAAACGAAAATCATAGCATCCGAAAATGCGTTGAAATAGTGGCTCAATTTTAAAAATTTGGTGACAGCGTTTCCTGATATATCATAGGCGAGACGCTCAATTTTGTTTTGTTTGTTTGTTCTCTGATATATTTCCTAGATGCTTATTTTGTACATCATACTATGATGCACAGAGATGCATATAAATGTATTACTATGTCAAAGACATGAATCGGTCTTTCTGAAAAGGAAAAGCATGTTAAATCTGTAAACACTGTTTTTTCTAAAAACAAAAATTTCGAAGATTTGTAGTTTTGGGCTTGGCGTCAATAAAACGTATAAACAGTTAATGCCGTGTTAGCTTTAAGTGTATAAATAAATGCACTTAAAGCTAACACGATATATTTTTCATCAAGTAAGAATAAAAGTATAAAACTATGAAAAATATATAGTTCTTGCCAGTGTCGAATCATCTTTAAACTTTTAACATTATGAACAATATAAAATATGCAATTATTTTTATTGTGGCACAGAATAAACAACTTTGCTTTTAGTGAAAAGAATATTTTGACTAATAGTTTAACACTCCATGGTGTAAGATGATATTTCAATAAATTATTCTCTATTTCAAAAGTGAATTTTATATGGTAACTTCATCATTATAAAAATCGCTTTGGCAGTCATTTATATTCTTCAAGCCTCATTCAAAGCCAGCGAAACGAAATCATAATGGTTAATGCCATTGTAGTCGGACAAAAGGCGAACGTTGCGTAACACACAAAAAAATTTTCAAAATTCTAATATTTTAGAGTAGACAAAGTTAAGTCAAGGTAGTAAAAAATGCAGTTTGCAAAATGGTGAAATACAAAGCTATCTAAAATTAGAGTAATCGAATTTTTAACAACATGTTTTGAGCAAAATTTAAAAAAAAAAAAAATAAATCATAAATCAGCAGTTTCAACTCTTTCCCCCTCCGAAAAAAAATCAAGAAAATAAACGAGACTAGAAAGTTGAATCTTGCTAAATGCATTCAAGAGTAAATTAGTCCTGATTTGTTATGCAAAGAAAGGTAAGAAAAAACTAGTATTTGTATTAGAATAAATAAACAAAACAGCACATTCCAACGAAAATAATATTGCAGCTAAATGTAACGAAGAAATCAATAATAATGTACTTTTAAAAAGAAGTGACTGCTATTTTATACCTTCTTTCTTCTGAAGGCCAGAATGTCCGAGATGACCCTTCATTAAAATGACTACAACCGTCCGAAACGGCCGAGCTTGCGAATTTGCTTTCTTCCCTTCCCCTAAGGTATGCAGTAGCAGGTGTAGTTTTCCCAAATGTATTGTATCAGTTTATTACAGATAGCTTTCTAAAAGTCTAATGGGAGCTTCTCTGTTAGGAAGAAGAAAGAATGTCATTTGAAATATTCATACTTCTTTGTACTTTAATGGACCGGGGAAGGAGGAAACAATGGGACGCGTAATGAACGGGCACGAGCTTTTCGTTATTTTAAGCATACAGATTAGCGAAGGCTTCGATTTCTTAATCGTTAAGACAGCAGAATTATAAAATATAAAGTATAAATAATTTTATTAAGAAAGTAAAAGTATCATGTTTCCTAAAAGCAAAAGATAAAGCGAAACTAAGTGATTTTATATATTAACATTGCATATAAATATTCTTCTTGAAACTATGTCTATAATGATGGTTGATATGCTCATCATTTTATACTACATTAGAATGCACTGATTAAAATTATTTAAGCAACAATTAGAAACCTGCATTATGTAAGTTAAACCTGTTGCAATATTTACTATGTATATTGACATAGTCAGTGAAAGGAATATTATATTAAAGAATTGCTATGATCTCGAATTACTATGGTCTTTATTCCATAGTAATTCGATGTAATTCCATAGTAATTATGGTCTTTATTATTTAGTCTAGGCATAATAAATAAAGATCAAACTGCAAACTAGGCATTTCAGATCCCAGTTCAACATATCGAAGGGTTTATTAGTGAAATTTTAAAAAGCTAAATGGGAAAATTAAGAACTTTAAAAGCATAAAATTATTAAACTTAAGAAAAAAATTGCTATTTAATTTCCTCATGATAATTTTCGTTTAATGCCTTAAATATTAAACTTAGTTACGATTAGCTTGCTAATTGAAAAGAAAATTTCATTGGATTTTATAATATAGAACATAAAATCATGGATTTGAAACAAATTATTAAAATTAGCTGAGAGAAATGGCACAAAAATAGCTTACTATGGAATTATTTCATCACCGGTTATCGCCACATAGAAATGTATGTGCTTTTGTAATAAAGAAAACCGTTATATAAAACACAGCTAAATATTTATTTCGTTGGGTCACTTGAGCACCAAGCTTGCAAAAGATATTTCTCTCAAGAGGCAGTACTTCTTTTTTTCCATGACACGCAACTTGGTTACCGGAAAAAGAAAATAAAAGTTTTAGGAAGAAATGTCTTTTCATATGTTCGAAAGATCGAAGTAGCTATTTTGTAAGAATAACCTCGATATATGATTTTCCGAACGAACTATGTTGGAGTGCCCTATAGCTATTCGGTTATCTGCTTTGACATTCCCTTTATCTAATCGACTTTGAATACACCAAAAGCGGTACACGAATTAGAGACTTTCAGCTATTCGCTTGTTTTGGAATCTGTTCTTAAGAATGATACTTGATTGTGATTCACTTTCGCAGTAGTTACTGGTAATATAATAGATCCAACTGAGTCCTAGTTTTAAAATTGAGTATTGCAAACACTATTAAACAGCCATTTAATTGCGTATCCTTCACGTCATACCATATGATTGGTGATTTAGAAAGGAAACTGGTGAACTCCGCATGTAGTCATATGAAACGGATTTAATATCAATGAAGCTTCACGCTGCTTTGAGAAATGACTATGTATTAATACTAGCTCTTTACAGAATGTTTCAGGCTTACGTAATGATAAAACAGTTAGTTACAGGTTATATATATATTATTCCTGCATAATAATTCACTATCAAGACAAAACATATGAAAGTTTAGAGTGGCATTTATTCAAGTACATGTAGGTGTACTGGAGTCCTGAAAAATAGAAACCACATAGATCAGATACAGTTGAAATGGATTCATTAAATTATACAAAAATACTTAATAATTTAAATTATTATGCGTTTATCAAATTATAATAAGGGAAGCTGTTTGTCGAAGTGAACGTTAACTCCATAAGAAGTAAAATTTACTAATTAATCGAGATCATAAAGTTTCAGAAAAACTAAATTTTAAAGTTTTAAAAATTTGAATGTTACTACAAAAGATTAAAAAAAAGATGCCATTGTAAAAGATTGTTTTAAGTAATTTTTCTATCATGTATTTCGCTGAATGTAACTGAGAATAAGCTGATCGAATACGTGTATTATTTCACCTTTATTATGCAAAATGAAAATATTATACTCTTACCGATACTTTTATTCATTTATTTTTTTAACTAAAGTAAGAATAAAAAAAAATTATCCTGTACAAAGTACGTAATATTTTGTAGCAACATCTATTAGTAATACCATATTTAGTATTACGCTAAATTTTAGAATAACGTTGATAACATCTTTTAGTATTACAAAACCGCATTTTAATACTTTGTAACTTATACCAGTTTTATATATTTTATTAATAAATACAATAAACACTAATAATTGTTTTTTCCCCTTAAAATTGCGATTCATTAATAAGCAAGTAAAAATTGGTTTATTTCAAAACACAAATTAAAAATTTCTTTTTCCCTTATGAATGGCAACATACAGAATAATAGTAATATCCAAGTAAGAGAGGAATTATCATTTATGTTTCGTCAAAGTGTTTCTGTTAAAGGTTTAAAACGCCAAATGAATTCTCTGTCACGTATGAAAATGAGAACTGCAGTAATAACATTTATTATGCGATAAGGATACAAATGTGCCTTTAGAGTCATAAGTTACATTGTTTACAAATGATAATAAGGTTGTTAAAAGTAAATTAGATTTGGTATAATTGTCTTTAAACTTCACAATTTATCATGCAGTTCAAATTATTTAAAACTGAAAATAAATTTTAAATCTTACACTTTTCCAAATATCAAAACCCTATGAAATATATATGAAATCTCCTTAAAGACTATATGTTTCGGGCAAAAGTAATGATTGTCATGGATATGTCATGTATAAAAAGCAACTGTAATACATATACGAAATTCTTGAAAGAAGTCTCTAAAGACTTTCTAGCGCCCAAATAATTCATAGTTGAATATATTATCTAAGAAAAGTAATTTATATAATGTATCAGATCTAACGCCGCTTCAGGTTTTTAAGGAATTGAAAAATAACTCATATTTGGCTTACGATTTTAAAGGTGCATTTTAGATATACTCCATTTGAACTAACGTTTTACTAAATTATGAAGAAGCATATC